TTATTCGAAAAAGCAAGTCTGGATGGCCAACAGCAACAAGCAATTTCTATTTATCACTTTCTTGAGGGTTTAGGGTTTAGGGGTTTAGGGTTTAGGGTTTAGGGTTTAGGGTATAAGGCGTTTTATAAGAGTTCTAAGCAGGAAGGCTGAGGGCTGCTTCTGGGTTTAGGGTTTAGGGTTTAGGGCTTAGGGTGTTTGGGTGTTTAGGGTGTTTAGGGTTTAGGGGTTTAGGGTTTAGGGTTTAGGGCTGAGGGCTGCTTCTGGGTTTAGGGTTTAGGGTTTAGGGCTGAGGGCTGCTTCTGAGTTTAGGGTTCATAGGGTTTAGGGCTGAGGGCTGCTTCTGGTTTTAGGGGAATAGGGTTTAGAGCCTGGGTTTAGGGGAATAGGGTTTAGGGCTGAGGGCTGCTTCTGAGTGTAGGGGTTTTGGGTTTAGGGCTTAGGGTGTTTGGGTGTTCAGGGTTTAGGGTTTAGGGCTTAGGGTGTTTAGGGTTTAGGCTTGAGGGGTTTAGGGTGTTTTGGTCCTAAACCCTAAACCCTAAACCCTACACCCTAAACCCTAAACCCTAAACCCTAAACCCTAAACCGTTTAGGGTTTAGCAGGTTTGGGCCTTCTGGCAAGGCTTACTTAGGCTCAGATTTCAGAGCTGCTGCGACCCCCAAACCCGAAACCCCAAAGCCCTACACCCTAAACCCAGGGTTTAGGGTTTAGGGTTTAGGGTTTAGGGTTTAGGGTTTAGGGTTTAGGGTTTAAAGCGTAAACATGAAACTCCTAAGCCCTCAACCCTGAACCCGTCACCTCTCACAACATGTGCCAAGAGGCCGCCAAGACGGAGCCTGGGGGACTTCAAGATCTCTGCGCCTACCTCAAGGAGCGGCACGCAGAGATTCAGCTCCCCGGAAGCGCTTGGTTGGGGGAGGGGATTTGGGGTTTAGGGTGGGGGCGGTTTAGGCTTTAAGGTTGGAGGTTCAGGGGTCTTGGGGGGTTTAGGGCTTAAGGTTCAGGGTTTAGGAGTGGGCTTCGAGTTTCCGGTTGAGGAGCTGTAGTGCCACGGAAGAGCCGTCTAGCTCACGTGGGCAGACCATTCAAACCCCGTCCGTTGGACGCCAAAAACCTGAAGACCAAGAACTCTACGCCCCTAAGCCCTAAAGCCCTAAGCCCTAAACCCTGAACCCTAAGCCCTCAACCCGAAAACCTAAGCCCTAAAGCTCTAAAGCCCCAAGATCCAAACCCTCACGCTTCTCCAGCGAGGTCTTCCCTGCGGTCTTTGCAAGGGCAGCGGCAGATCATGGAGACCGTGAACACAAAGATGAGGACGGGTGGGGCGAAGACGAGGATACCGGGGAATCGCTGAAATCCAAATCCTGAAGGTTTCTAAGGTTTAGGGTTTAAGATGGGGCTACCGACCGGGGAATCGCTGAGATCTAAGTCCTGAACTCGATGGTAGAGGTTGGTGGAAGTCGTGGCCACTTTTCAGGGATCCGTGGCATCCCTCTGAGTGGTTAGCTTCCTGTGGCTATTTGGGATAACTGCTGGTTGCCCTTACACCCTAAACCATAAATCCTAAACCCTAAACCCTAAACCCTAAACCCTAAACCCTCAACCCTAAACCCTTAAAGCCCTAAGCCCTCAACCCTAAACCCAGCATGTGCAGAAGTGTATGTCCCCAAAGGTCGGCACTCAACTCAGGAGGCTCATGGTTTAGTTTAAGGTTGAGGGGTTTAGGGTTTAGGGTAGTTTAGGGGTTTAGGGTTTAGGGCTTTAGGGGTTCAGGGAAATGGTTAGGGTTTTAGAGTTTCGGGTTTAGGGTCCAAGCAACAACCGCAGAAGCAGCCCTGAGCCGCTGAGCTTGCCTCTACTCCCACGTGCTCCCACCAGATGGAAGCATCTAAGAGGAAAGGCGGATCCTAAGGATATACGCTTCCACACTGCAATGGACCCCAAAGCCCTATTCAGGGTTTTTCAAAACCCCGACACCCTAAACCCAAAGCCCTAGACCCTAAACCCTAAACCCGAAACCCGAAACCCTAAACCCTAAACCCTAAACCCTAAACCCTAAACCCTAACTAGATTCACAAGATCTTAGCATCCCTGCCTGCACGTACAACCAGCCTCGACCATGGACCCAGAGGACTTGTCCAGACTGGTAACACTCCATGAAGTAATGTAGGGGCCTAAATAGTTACCAATACTATTTTGGGGGATCCTTATGAGAATTATAGGGTAATGGGCCCAAAAACCTTGTTCGAATTCCTCAGGCCCCTACATGAAGTGCTAAGCACGGAGCACTACACATCTCCTGGAAGCCACCCACAAAGTCCGTCGACCATACTTGTCAGGCTGTTGAAGTGCATCTTTCTGAACAACCCGTCAAGTCCTTGAGACACTTTTAACACCCAAACCCGAAGTCCTAAACCACAAATCCCAAAGTATCGGAGGGCGTTTGCTTTGAAGATGCTGGTGCAGCGATCGAAAGGATTTTTGGCTTGAGCTATGAAGGATCTTCGGGCTGGGGGTCGTTACGGCAGTACGGACGGGGGGGTTGAGGGGGTTGAGGGGGTTGTCGGCGTCAGTTTGATGAGATTTGAAAAATTTGGCGTTTCAAGCATGCGGATGGACTGGATGGAGGTGGTTTTTCGGGTATTTGGGCGTGAGGCATCTCAGCTGATCTTTTGGCTTCGTGCTCTGGAGGCTCAGGTTTGTTAAGGGATGTTCGATCCTGGGGTTAGTCCTACTTAAAGGATCACGGGACTTAGTAACTAAGGTTATTATTAGGGTAACTATACTTATAACTACTTATAACCCCAATTAAGGCACTTATAACCGTACTTACTAAGTCCCATGATCCTCCAATTAGGGAACAAGAAGGCTGGAACATCATTATCCCCTTAATCCCAAAGCTAGCAAAGAAGGAAAGCTAGCAGAACTCATCTGATGGTCATGTTCCAGCTGTTTGTGTTCCAGTGCTGCTCCATGTGATTCTGACCTGGACCCGTAAACCCGAACAACTGACCCTTCACCCTAAATAGGAAATATGCACTGGAGGAACTATATGACCTGTTGCAAAGCTAGCAAAGTATTGCGTACTATAGTGAGCGGGGGGGCTTAA